AAACAAAGTGATTGCTTAGAAAATGTGGCTAGGCAGAAATAGCAGCAGATTGCATGCCTGGAATGCTTCAAAGGGTAGGGCATAGTGTGATGTGCTATGGGGTTACAGTGATGCTTTCCCTACCCCCAACTATTCGAAGCTGCCTGGAAAACATTAAAATTTTTTCTTTTTTATTCGTAGCAATTGCATAGTGTGGGCTGGTACAGAAGTCAGAGTGATATTCTATGACACTAGAAACCTCCATGCTTAAGTTCCATTGCTCTTTATCAATTTGCTATTTCAACTACAGGGTTCTGCTTTATCTGGTGCTACAAGGATGTCTACTCTTTCAGAATTCTCATTTTCTTTCTTTCCTTTCATATCACTATTTAGTCTCTTCAGGAAGGTTTAGGATCAAATTGTGGTGGTCCTTTCTTGCTATTCTGCTATCCCTGCCAGTGGGATTCCTGAGACTATTGGGGTAGGACATTTTTCAGATTACAGATTCTATGTACAAAATCTGGCAAAATTGCATTTGTTTTCCATCTGCTTTTAAAAATATTCTCTTGTAGCACTAATTCTAATTGGTCTTAATAATAAAAACTCAGAGTCAGATATTGGGGTTAAAGCCAAAGATCAGCGAAGCAAAGCGGCCAAGCCACTAGAGAGTTCTCACCTCTCTCTACCAATGCTCAGACCAAAAAGGTGACCCTGTCTTCAGTGTGACTGCAGACTGCATCAGTCTTCACCAAACTTCAGACTGCACTGAACTCCTATCTCCTCCAGCCTTATATTCCTCTCTAGTACTGGGATAAATTCGTGGGATCCCAAGTGCTTTGTGTGAGTTCTGTTTCTCTTTTAGACTGGATAAATTTCATGTAGCTCAAGATGGCCTTGATAGACAGATCTGTCTATCTATGTCTCCCAAGTGCTGGCTTTGAAGGTGTGTACCACCACTGCCTGGCCTCTATGGCTAACTAATGTGGCTAGCTTTGCACTCTGATCTTTAGGCAGGCTTTATTTGTTAGATCATAAACACAATATCACATTTTCTTGACAATTTTATTTACTATGCACATGGGTATTCTGCCTGCATGTATGTCTGTGCACCTCATGCATGCAATGTCCCTAGAGGCTAGACTAAGCATTGGATTCCCTGGAACTAGAGTTACACAAGGTTGTGAAACACTATCTCGGCGCTGGAACTCAGGACCCAGGTCCTCTGGTTGAGTAGCCGGTGATGATAATTGCTCAGCTGTTTCTCCAGCTCCAACACCTGTTGTTCTTCTGTGCAGTGAGGATAATTTTCTTTATATGGAGATAGTTACTTTTCTTATTGCTGTTAAAAACACCTAACAAAAGGTTGTCGGGCACCTCAATAGCAAGGGCATATTTTGGCTCACAGCTGGAGGGTAGAGAGCATCATAGCAGAGAGGACATTGTGGCAGGAGTATGAGACAGCGGGTCACATTTAAACCTCTCTGAAATCACCCTTAAAGACACAGCCAGAAGTGTTTATCTGGTGATTCTAAATTCAATCAAGTTGGATTTAATAAAGTGAGTTAATTCATTGCTCTAACAGTGTCTGGTAATTATAACTTCTTTTTTGAGACAGAGTGTCACCATGTAGACCAGGTTGGCTTCAGACTCTCAGACATCTGACATTCTATCTCCTAAGTGCTAGGATTAAAGGCATTCGCCACCACTGCCTGTTCTCAGCCCAGTATTTTTAAAAATGGATGGGGGGAGAGGTTTTCCAGAGAAGGTGAAGGAACCTGAAGGTGATCCAGAGAGCTGTAATGTTTCTCAAGTTTAAGAGCAGGTTAGCAGTGTACTCACCAAGAACGCAGTGGCTAGGAAACAAGCCTTCATCCTGCATTCCCAGTCCAGCCCCTCCACTGTGCTTCCAAACACCTCATTTCTCCAGGGCTGCCTCTGGCGTCTGCACTGCTTTAAGGCCTTTTCAGTAGTCTAATAGTACTTAAACATATAAATTGTGTGTGTTCTCTCCATTTAAGGCAAAAAAGAAAAGTTATAGACTGGAGAGGTGGCTGAACATAGCAGTTAAGGGCTTGAGCTGCTCTTGCAGAGGACCTAGGTTGAGTTCCCAGCACTCATGTCAGGCAGCTCCAGGGATCCAACATCCTCTTCTAGACCCTACTGGTACCTGTACTCACGTGAAAGAACACACACACACACACACACACACACACACACACACACACACACACTTATATATGTGTCCATATACCTATATATACATATATATTTGTGCATATACATATATGTATATATATTATGTTACTATAACATATGTCTGCCTAGTCTCCCTAGTCCCAGGGAGAAGTTAATTTTTTAAAAAGATTTTTATGTATATGACTGATGGTCTGTAGTATGTCTATGCATCACACAGGTCACTGTCTCAGAGGGAGCTCTCATATGGGTTCTCTGCAAGTGGAGCCCATGCTCCTAGCTATCTCTCCAGCCCCAGAAATAGGACTTTAAAAGAATATAGGAAATAATATTTTAGGAATTCCAAGAATTATTGAAAAATTATTTTTTTGTTCCGGCTGCTTTCTCCATCCAGCTTCAGTGAAACTGTGTAGATAACTTAAAAACAAGGTGCCTTGGTAGGAGTTCCAGTTCTCTCTCCTCAGCCCACGTTTCTTGAAATGAAGGCAGGTCCTGGATAATACATAATTAAAACACTCAAATGCGAGTATCTAGATTTATAAAGCAACCACGAGAGCGGCAACTCAACAAAGTTTACTAAATTATTTCAAATAGTAAGTTGCCGGAGACCTGCTTGTTTCAACCAATAAAAAAGTAAGTTTTCAGATCATACATTGTAACAGGAAACATACAGCAAAGGCGGTGAGGCCAGCACTCGGGAGGATGAGGTAAGAAATATGGAGTTTGAGAGCAGGCTATATTGGGAGACTTTGTTTCAGTCACCCCTTCTGAAACCAAGAGAAAACAACCATCTACTACTATCTCACGTTGTCTCCATTTCCTTCTACGTCCATTGCTTTCTGTGTCATTAACCTCCTTTTAAACTTAGACACTCGGGATACAAAACTCCAACCAAGTCCTTAGCTATTTTTGTCCTAAAGCGAGGGATAAGATGGGTTTAATTTCAGCGGTTTCCACGAAGCACGTTCAACCCCCTTCTAAAGGAGACTCTGCAAACGCTGCTAGTCTTCATGGGCCTTGGAAAAGTCAGTAAGACGGGGCCAGCGATCCTAGGGACTGTGTATTTGAGTCTCACACAAAGCCCTGCCTACAGTTTAGAGTCCCTGAAGGCCCTCACTTTCAATTAGCCGGGAAAATAAAACTCATCTGTAAAGCTGGTGAACAGCAAGTTAATGAAAAACGTCCATCCGGCAGATTACAACAGCAGAGGGCACAATACTCACCAGTGACTGGCGGTGAGGGTGGGCAGAATCTGACGATCGCTGGGTCTTGTAGTTCGCTATTGGTCTCTCTTGCATGCGCCCCCGGGATCTGAACTACAACCCCCACAGTGCATTGCCGGTCCCTCTTGCCACCTCACACCACCTCTCCTCTGGTGAGCTGAGAAACCTCCTGACAGTGCATTGCCGGTCCCTCTTGCCACCTCACACCACCTCTCCTCTGGTCCGCTGAGAAACCTCAGAGGAAAAAGCCCCGCCCCGCCCCCGTACGCACGCGTCAGTTTGTTTACCCTAAGGCTCCGCCCCTAGACTCCCGCTCTCCCTGCTCCGCCCAGGAATGGCGTCATGCACTGGTAATGCATATTCATGAGCAACTCCGCCCCACCCGCCTTCCCGCGCTTCATTAATATTCATGAGCAGAGCTTGGGCCGC